TCCTTCCTTCCTTCCTTCCTTCCTTCCTTCCTTCCTTCCTTCCTAGGAAACAGACAATTACCGCACAGCCCTGCAAAAGATGGCGGATGACATCATGTCTTTGCGCCGTCATGTTTCCACACTGGAGGCGGAAAACAGTGCATTGAGGCGTAACCTCTCCTTGCATGAGGATGTCGGCCGGGCCCTCTTTCAAGACATTGACCTGGATGTTATGACCAAGGCAGAAATAGTCGACAGAATACGTAAGGGAATTGTCTCCTCCTGTTTTGCCCATTCAGTTGGGGGAAGGGCTCATGAAAGGTCTACTTGAAGGAAAGGAATGAAGGCACCCTAGAAGTCTTAATTTTCTTTGAAAACTTGCGTAACACCTGTCCATACAAAGAACCTCTCCCTGCAAAAGTTCACCTTGGATGCATAAACGGCAAGACTGCCAGTGTCATCCCATCATTTCTGCTTAAACAGGAACATTAATTGAATTCAGAGTGTCCTCATAGGTCTAGATTAAACCAGGATGGAAATTTCTATGGCCTACACTTCCCCCAAGGAAACAGGCCAGGTTATGAAAATAGCAAAGTTTCTGGCCTTTTCCTGTTATATTGACTGCAAGGAGACAGTATGGGACCAGTTTAATTCTTATTGAGACTTGCCAGACTGTAATGGAAAGAAGGAATGACCTTGAAGGACAGGAAGAAGAGCTGCTCTCAAGGCAATGGTTAGATAAATGAAATACGAGTCCAGGGCAGAACTGTAACCTGAGAAAATGTCTCAGACAAGACACCCCCACCCCCCAGTTATACCCCTCTAAAGGTGGGGCAGGAGAGAAGCAGATTCAAACTTGCAAGATAACTTTAAATTTTGCTTACTGGGAGTTTTGAGAGCACATTTGGAGGGTATGAAGTGGTGGAAGGATGATATACTAGGCTGGATGAACCGATGGTCTCATTTAATATAAGCCGATTGCTTAAATTCTATGACTAATATGTCAGAGAACTTAAGAAAGGGTATCCACCATTGGGTTGAAAGAAGAACTCTACCTTCAATGGAATTTTCACATTTTTTTTCTTAGTGCTTCTCAAGCACAAATTATCTTCTGGGGCTCGGGAGATGGCCCGGATGAAGGATCGGGTACAAAGACTGCAAAACGAACTGATTCGGGTAAGCATTCTTGGGGTTCTCTCTTGCTGCATCTTACATCAGTCTTGCCTTCTCCAACTTGACAGAACAACTAATTTAGTCATCGGTACTTGAGAAGGAGAAGATAGCAGTCTTTTCCTCCCATCTACTTTTTTAAAAATATGTAATACATAGGAAAGTCTTGCAGCTATAAGTAAGAGGACTCTTAATGCCTACTGTTGTGTTGGGAACTTAGTGCATATGGAAGGCTGAGTAAAAATTCTCAAAAGTCAGCTGTCACAAAAATGCTGTATGCTGGTGGGTGTGATCATAATTTCCCAGAATGCCCCAATACAGTACTCTATGGCATCTTGGGGAAATGGATGGTAACTATCAGGAAGCAGGCAGCCAGAAATCTTAGGCTACTTGCAGATGTAGAAGAAACTCCCATCACCTTTCACTGACATGTTAGAAACTAGGTAATGGGAAATACTTTTTGCCTGAAATGCTGGAGATGGACAAATGTCCATGGCGACTGGTTCCTATGAATTTTTAAGGAGAAATCCTGGCTCATGTAAGTCATCTTGAGTTCCTGAGTCTATGTCTGGTAGCCCAGAGGGAAGTGTCCTCTGAATTTATGTGGATTTTAACAAGCAAGATTCACAAATGTTGCCAATTTACTGCTTGAAGATCCTCCCATTAGGGAACGTTTGGGTGAAATCACATGGATTTTCCATTCCAGGGCAACTTGGACATTCTGGTATGGGGATCTTTCTTTGACTACCCCAGAACAATCTCAGATCCACATTTGTTCCAACTGGGACAAGTGGTCCTGACCTCAGACTGATGGATTCCTCTCCTCTCACTTTTTTTCCTCCATCAGAAAAATGACAGAGAAAAAGACTTGGTGATGTTGCAAAGAGCTCATCAACAGCAGCAGATGGTGCTTCGGAAATACCAAGCCAAGATAGCCAAGATGCAAGCCCTTGAGGATGCAGTCAGACAGCAGGAAAAGGTGCAGGGCTGCTATCTGATGCATTCAGGGAGGTCCTTAGGAAAGAGTGAGAGGGCCTCTTCTGCACAGTCACACTCATCCATTTCCACAAAAGGTAATCGAGAGGATGGAGAAGATGCTGGAAGAAAAGATGAAGGAACAGTTCAAAGAAATCCATTTTGGAGATTTATCCAGAAAGACTGGTAAGTAAGCCACAAGTAAAGCAGATCTTCTCTTATTCATTTCCAAGAGATTTGTTGCCATTCTGAACAAAATGCCAGGCAACCCATTTCTTTTCCAAGTAAAGGAGGGATTCCAGAGGTCCAATTCTTTGATAACTGAGCTGCAGTTTCTTCCCTCTTCCTTCCAGAATGGGAACAGTGATTATGACATAAAGACAACCCCAGATCTTGGAGGGGCAAAATGTCCTCTGGCATGCTTCTTCCTAGGCCCAGTGGAGCAATGCCAGTCCTCTGAAGAACCACCAGATGTCACTATTTTAATTTCACACAATGCACCAAATGTAACTTTGGACTATTATGGCATGTAATACAGCCAAGAGAGGTGTCTGAGTTACATGGGGGTCAGCCTTTCAAGACTAGAAAATCAGAGTTATGAATGCTAATACTACTTTTATTCTAAGGTTACAGTAACAGAATCTTGCAAGACTGAATGTGCTTCCCCACTTCCTCCCTTTATCTTCATGAGAATTAGGGAGGATCATGTCTGAGACACTTTCTCAAATTCCATTTCTGTCCCAGATTCAGATTTCATTTATCTGACTGTTGTCTTGGTTGCAGCTCTTCCTCCTGTTCTTCAAGGTTATTCCTACTTCCCATTACAATGGGTGCCTGTGAGCATTACTTGAAGATCTTGAACATTTACAACCGTCCAATCACCTGCAATTTGCAATCCTCAAATCCTAGTGAGGATCTTGCTTTGTTTCTTTTTTTAATGGTCAGTGGTGCTTGCAAAGGTCCTTCCTTCTTCTTTCGTTGAACATCACACATCTTACCTGTTCTCAGTCTCAGGTGACAACTGGCCCAAAGATCTCTACTCCACCCTGTTGATGGAGAACATGAGGCTACGGGATGAACTGGGGAAATCTTCTTTTCGTTCACCCATCATATTGCAGCAGCAGGCATTACCAGTAAGACTCTTTGACTCAATAA